TGGCCACCAATTTGACGCCAATACATCTCTTGCATAGAGATGATCAGTGAGGGACAACGATAGACAATATTAAATAGTTTTACACGTCCGCTAACGTAAAGACAAGTCACGGCGGCAGGATCTGTGCGGTACTTGTAGTCGGCGAAGTGCGTGCTATTCACATTCAATTGATAATGGTGTTCTAAAGCTCTGCGTTAGAAGAAAGAATATAGTTAAAGGCATTCTAAAGGGAATATTGGGCAACGGAATAATTCGCTTACTTGATGCGGAGCGTGAAAGTCGCCCCAGGTGCGAATACCACGTTATCATTACGTATTTCATTAAGCCATTCTGAGTCACACATGCTGTTCAGAACTATGGTATTCTCATTAAATCTGGGTATGAAAATTGATATAAAATCATCTACAAGAAAATAAAAAAGTTTGTACATTCACTTTATTTACCTTGGATTAATATGCATCGCAATGACACGGAATTTTTCCACCCTGGGATGTGTTTTTATATTTGGATGGCACTGTAAATCAAAGCGTATTTGATCTGCATCGTCGTAAACACAACCAGACACCTCCAGTTCTGTACCAATAGGCATTCTGTAACAATAAACATATATTATAAACAAAGCATTAAACATATAGGTATTTTTTTACCGACCCATTATATAGTGTGTTGTAGTAAGGTGTTTCCATTGTATTCACATCGAACTTCTCCACATAACAATTGCGTTCTTTGTCCAACTGATTTGCCTTCATATTGAGTGGATCGAAAACGAATACTTCGCCTAGGTCACTGGTGATCCAAATGGAATTGTGTGCAGGCTTGCCCAACACTTCATTTATTTGACAACAAACAGAACTGAGATGAGATAGCCAATCCTCCATTTCGGCATCACTGGAGAATTGCAATTTTATCGGCGAACAATTGATTGGTAAACGTGGTGCGTGCAGCGCGATACGCGGTGAAGACGGCTCGCTACAGCACTGCACACATGTGATAGCTGACAGTGAAAACTGAATTTTTGTAGTAACACCATCTGGATTGAGCACAGTAAATGTACCGGAATCGGAGTCTGCGATAGTTGTGCTCGCATCTGCTGCACCGGCACTGCCCGTTGCACCACTCACCCATTCTAATTCGATTAAACAATCTTCGAATTCTCCACCGGGCCGTTGATAACGTGCCTCCGCTGATTTAATCCATGAGCTCAGCTCGACTGCCTTTTCGTATTTTTCTACGTGATTCAATTTTTTTAGATTTTCCTTTTGTTTTTGTAACTTGCCAATAATATCTTTTCGCCATGTTGCATCTACATCTACTCTGCCGTTGCTAGATGCTTGCTCGTTAAACCAATTGGGCGCATTTACTGGATCAACGCTTACGCCACCAGCTGCAACGCAACTCCACATAACCTCGCATTCGGTCCAAAATTGCGAACCAGCATGATCTTCATCCTCACCCAGATATGCATCTGAGCCATGGTGGGTTGAGTCTGATTCGAACACGGCAGAATCACTCTCCGGATGTGCCTCTGTGCCGACTATGGAGCCAACGCTACGCACTGGTGACCAGGCGCGCGGATTCTTTAGCTGAGTTTCGAAGTGCTTGCCTGCGATTTCAGTTACGACCTCGGTCGCGGGCGCACTGGATGCGTGTGCTGCATGTTCTCGCATCGCAGAAGTGCGTTTCTTATGGCGCTCGTTTAAATTCAAACTACCGATGTTGGGCGGTGAATCAGCTGAATATTTCCAGATGTCGCTTTTGAGCCGCGCCTGCGCTGCTGCTGCACCCGTTGCGCTGCTATTCGTGGAAGCAGGGCTGGCGGACACATTTTCAATGGGTGCACATGTCTCTACAACACCTTTTTCCTTATCCTTGCTATACAAATTTGAGAAACTCTGATGCTTTGAACCGGGTGTTGAGCCACTGCCACTGCGTCGTGACACAATCGACATGGAACTAGACGTGCGACTTATCTGCATAGGGCACTGAATTTGCCGCCATTGCTTGCCAGTCGGATCAGAAGTGGACACGCCTGATCGAAAGTATAGGGCACGATCCGATGAACCGACAGCGAAAACTTGATCATTAGGTGCTACAGATATCGACGATATGTTCACAATCATCTCTACCCAACCACTGCCAATGGCAGCATCCTCGCTGATACCAGCTGCTTCACCTTTGACACCGCGTCGGAACCATACATGGCTATCATTGGTTACACACCAAACAGTATCGGTACCCACTGAGACTTGGCTGATTTTGAGTGTGCTCGATGAATCATTGCTGCTAATTGGAGGCTTGACATCTAGCCACGCTTCACCCGAGAGATTTTCGCGCGTTACTCCAGTACGTACAATAGCGCGTCCATTATATAGCACCGCCCAGACAAGACCAGTCGGACCAACACTTATTTGTGCCAACTCACAGCCGGGAGGAGTGTTAATTGCATTCCAGCGAAGACCTTCTGGTGCAGAAGTGCTTACGCCGGTGCGAAACATTGCCTGAAGGATGGAAAAATAAAAACTAGTTTTACTAGCAAAGTAAGTGTACAAATTACGTAAATCATACCCTTCCGTGTGCAGTGATAGCCCACACGATCATAGTACCCAATGGTGCATTTGGTACATTTGTGCCCCCAACAGAAACATCAATAAAAGGCTCTTGTGTGGGGTCTTTATGTAGTGGCGCTACAGCACACCAGCTGTTCAGCGCACTATAGCGGCGAAAACGTACCTGAGAGTAGTTTTTTTTTTTTAATAAGTACCTAATAAAATACAATTTATTTCAATTTAAATAATCGTATTTAGAACTCACCCATTTTCTACGCCGTACATACGAGTTCCATGAATTCTTCACCGAGTATGTAGCGGGAAAATCTAACGCATACATCCAACCATCTTCCGCTAACTGCTGACCGTCCATATCGAGATCTAAATGCCAATCTCCATCCCATTGCCACGCCATTGATGGCAACCTAACCTTATCAATGTTGCGTTCCACACTGCCATCAGCTGAGGAGAACTTATAGCGATCGGTAGGCAACAACTTTTTCGAAAATCCTTCAATCGGTAACCAGCGTTCATTCTCGTACGACTCTTCTTTGACGCGTATGGGTACATCTAAGCCAAATACATACACATAGACTTGACGATCACCACCAATGGCCCATACAAAATGTGGCACAGCAGCAATTTTTTTGAACTCTAAACCCAAGTATGGGAACTCTCGCCAAGAGGAAGAATTGGTTGACAGTGTATACACGCGGCCTTCACTATTGGTGGCAAATAACAATGAGCTAGGCATGCTGCAACTATTGGAAGAAAATAAACAGAAGATACAATGGTGTCATACAAATTACATTAGTTTTTTATGTAGTTATAAAAACGCATATATGATAATGATAACATTTGTTAGGAGTGCTTAAATGTATGCGACTGCTTAACGCTAGCTCAGTGAAGCGTTTTTTCATTTTTGGTACAAAATCGATGCAGCATTGCTATAGACATTCCAATAATTCTAATAACTGAAACAAGAGTTATGCAAACCAATTTTACACAAAAAAAATCGATTAAAATACTTTAGAAAGAGATGTTTTCTGGCACTTACCTCTTTTTTATTAATTCAGGTTTTTAAATTAGTTTCCCCAATTAAATATACCTAGTTCGAGGAATTTTTTGCTACACGTTGTTTGGCAGCGATTGATTCCTCTACTTTCGCACTTTTGAACTCAGTTAAACCAAATATGCACATATTATTTGTAAATAATTATTTATTTTGTACAAATGTTTTACTTTATGGTTTTTCACTTTTTTGCGTCCACAGAAAGGCGTGATTCACTTTTACCACTCCTTGTTCGTCCTGCAGAAAATTTGCAATAACAATTACCGACTCCTTTGTGTCTGCTTCCGTATTATCAATTATCAGCTGATGGAGATTTGTTTATATTTTTCGATCCGAGTGATGCCATGCAGTAGATTAGAAAAATACTTCAAAACAGTAACAATCTTCTCCAAAACTCTAAATTTATTGCATTGACCAAAGAACACAAATCTATAAGAAGAGACAACACGTTATAATTGTAGCGAGTGT